GTGCTTTCTCAGGACGGGTGGGGGGAGGAGCAATAGTCGTCCTTTCATAGCTCCTGGTCTGTGACTGTCTCCAAGAAATCAGTAAGATTTCATAACTATTGTGTAATGGATGTTCCAAAACCGAAATAGTGCTTGTGTATGTGCAGAAGATACAATGTGAAAAGAGTTATTTTGCATGAGATGGGCACTTTAAGCTTACAGCACTTACACTTTTGAAATTCCTTTTTTTGCTACCTTCATCCATAGACTGTATAAAGAATGTGACTAAGGCTGTGTGACGTCACCCATAGCCTTCGTCTCCAGACAAATTAACCTCACGAGTCTAACTTCTAAAAGGAGTGAATTTGGAGCAGATAGGAATGCAAACGAATTTGCGAACATTTTAAGACCAAAATGTCAAGGCTCACTGCAGCAGTTAGAGAGAGTTCTAACACGGAAGTCAGTTATATACAGTCTATGCCTCCATCTTTATTCCAGAGTGGGAGGGCAAAACATCAAGCTTCCTCATTTGAGCTGATGTGCGCTCTGTCTGTTATTGATCCTTCCTCCATGTGCTCCGAGTAACAGTGGGAGCAGCCTGGACCGGGACCTACAACCGGCTTCCATCGAGGGATTTATGCACGCTGTAAAAGCAGCCAAGGTCGCTCACATGACTTTTAAAGATATGGGGTTAGGGGAAAGAGGTTGTGCTGTGATTTTCAATGTGGCTGGAGAACATGGATGGATACTGACACATTGGAGGCATTTAGCAATCTACCGGAATTTGCTAAAGGGAAAGTCGAGTGAAAATAATGTAGGGCTGTGACAATTAATCAATAATTGTGACTAGAGGTTGTCTAAACTATTAAACAGGACAGAAATGAACCTTTCCTGAATAGCTTTAGCATGATATTGAACTGTATCAGAACAAGTATAAGACTACAAGGACTACAATGTGCCAATATCATGACAACAAATTATGACTAGTGTACAACTGAAATAAAAGTGACTGTATTTTGATAATTAAGTGGATTACAAAAACTCAAAATGTCAAAAAACCTTTCTTAACAGCCTTAAATGATGCTTGTAATTCTTTTGTTTTGCCATTCTAGATTTAAAACTGCAATACGTAACACAAAATGTTCTTCAGTATGAAATTTAAATGTCCATCTTACTATTTAAGAACACTAAAAACACAATTTATACGCAAGATAAATACACAGTACACGGATAACTGCTATTGACTGTTACTTCAGAAATGGTTGAGTGGGTTTAATTGGCTGTTCCTGTCCAGCGGGCGATTCTCTCTGGAGTTAGGGGTTAAGAAAGCAAAGAAATAAGATCCATGCTTTGAATACAGAGTCCAAACAAAAAGGATTAGAACTATTTTGGTCTCTATGACAAATGTAAACAGAGATTTAGTGTAGGAAAAACCTGGGCTATTATGCCAAGCCAGTGCTGTCAGGCGGATTTTCTTAAGTGGCTGCATTTTGTAGTGACTCAATAACTTTTCAATTTTTAAGAGGTAACCACATACCCACACCTTATGTTTCAAGCATTTTTAAATAGCACATTCAAAATGTTGGCCAGGCTGGTGCCACCTAGTGCCTTCGCTCAATTTCATTTCTCTCCAGCGACTAGGTCAGGAATCAAAATACACTAGACGGTTCGCAAAAACCCTGGAAGTACAAGTTTGGGCACCAGTCAATCAGCGAAGAGCCATATATTCAGTGTTGTCAACGATTCCCGAGATCGAGGATTTAAAGCTGGAACAAAGAGAATGTTTGTTGAATTTTATCAAGGGGAAAGATGTTATTGCCCTTCTTCCTACCGGATTTGGGAAAAGTTTAATATATCAGTTACGTCATGACCAAATAGCAGCGATTGGTTAAATGATAAAAATGTACCTACCTACAGTCGAGCAAACAAATTCTAACACTGCAAGGTCAGACTGTTTCTATGAAGTGAAACTGGCTGATGAATTAGGCTAGCAAAATGTCAGTATATTTGAAAATGTTTCCAATTGATTACAAAGCAAACTTAAGGGTGCACTATGTTCTCTGGTGGAGGGTCCATCAAGTGAAGATGGTATTGTTTTATCTGGAATTTTCCAATGTATGGCATTATACCTTTCTGGAGACCAAAGCAGACCAAGTTACAGGTCAGATCTGGGAGAGGCAAAGCTAAGATTAGGATAGTCTCTAAGAAATACATGTTAGTGAAAGTAATGTTCCCAAGAAGCACGTGAGTGTTTTACATTTTGCTAGTACTAGTAAATTCTGATACCAACAACCAGGAACAACCATGCAGCTAATCTGTATGGCAAGCACAGTTTAGTGTTTACCCTGTGACCAAAGGGTAACAGGTTCAAAAAGGATCTGGTGTACATACCTGCCTAATCACAATGCTACTGGTTTTCCCTGATAACACATTATGAGCAATCAATTAATATGTAAAAATCTACCTACGTATTCACTGCTTTGTTTCAAACTAGGGCTGCAAGGTGAATTCAGCAGAATTGAAATCGCAATCTGAATGGACAAAACTAGCAAACTGTCTTATTCTGCATAAAAAAGCCAATACTTTTTGAAATTTGATTCTAGTATTAGTTTGTCAGTTCATACTTCCATGAACAGAATCCTTGTCAAAATTAAAAATTTTTTGACTTTGACAAAACTGCAATTAGATATTTTTCGTTGATCCTTTTTTCAAACCCAATATCGACTAATTTCTTGTGTGTTTTATTGTGTCGTTTATTGCAAAATGTAGAAAATGGTGTTAAGTTTCGATTCAACATGATGTTTTATTGTGATATTGTCTGCTGCATTACATCTCTCTTCAGTGTTCAACTAACTGGATAAAGAACCATGACGGTGGAAGCACTGTGCTAACCTTGCTGCACGGACAAGAAGCCCCAGAATGCATTAGTGTTGGGCAGCGGTAGAACCAATGGAAGCTCCATGCCTATCAGATGACCTTGGCCGAGCGGGTTCAGATCTGAAAATGCTGTGACAGATATGCGTGTAATCACCACTGGGCCCTATGCCAAACTTTACTATCTGAGAGGGGCAGTGAGCAGAGGAGAGGAGAATGGGGACAGTGGACTCCTTCTGTCTGTCTCTGAGCAAAATGTGAGCTCATCTGCCAGAACAGTGACCGTATAGAAATGCAAACAATATGGTGGCAAATTGGAGCCAGGAGTCAAAACCAAAAAAGTAAAAAGTGAAATAGCGTGCAATAAATCTAAATAATTGGATATTTTGTATTTGAACAATGGTTGGTGGACAAGTGCTCCAACCACTAAGCCACTGTTTAGCCAGTACGGCCTTAAAGCAGCTTTTCAGAGCTTTTAATCATATTATATTCGTTACTCCTTCTCATTTACTCATCCGAAGTTGTGTTTAGTGATTTGTGCATGTTTGAGCAATCTTTAATCTCTTATTTTCAAGACGCCATATTGCAGATCAATCCCCGTTTTCATCGCCACTAGCATATGTCCATTTCTTTTTTTTTTTTTTTTTGTCGCGCTTACTTAATTCCTTAATTTTATTTTCTCATTTTGGGACAAATGAAAAAAAAAAATCTGCTACATGATCTGCAGCAATCCGTTGAGGTTGCTAACTCTTTGTTTGTTGTTGTGCCATTTACGGCGACATCTGCTCCCATTTCTAATACAGAAGTCAGCGGAGTTGTTTCATTTTAGATGAAAATGTGCAAATTATAATGATTCATGGGTATCGTAGATTATAACTGGCAGGCTCAAGCACGATATGTAATTCTAATGACTGGCAGATGTCAGTTAACATTTACAAGCACTACTACAGACACACCTCTATAATGTTGCTACTGCAAAATCCCAGATATACTATCTATACACTATTCATAATGTTTTCCAAGTTGTGCCATTTACAGTTAAAGCAAATTCAGAGCTATGAAACAGTTCCATCTTGACAAACCACAATCATGTATAACAAGGTGAAGAGGACTTGATGTGATTTCTTCGTTGTGGTTTTCTAAATCTAAATTCAACAGTGCAGCATGAAAGCCGGGTGATTTACTAGCCTATTTGAAGCTCCTCTAAACTCTATACAAGCAGCGGCTCTCTGTTCCACGCCCAGAGTATAGCCGGTGAGTGCAGGCCCCGTGTGGCTGCAGCAGGCTCACTCATGAATACTAACTCTGCTCCAGACATGTGCTGTGTAACAAGTCAGGAGAAAGCCAAGGCTCAAGGTACTGGTGAAAGATTTGGCAAAAAACAACAGTGATTTTTGACAAATATTGCAATTTAGATTTAGGATTTTAGATTTTTTTGGTATTATTGTTTTGATCCTATCCTAACGCCTCAATTTCAGAGTTAAATGTTGTGTAAGGGCATAGTGAAAGAAGTTTGTAAACATTGTAAATCTTTTATGAAGGCTCAGATATCTAGCTTTAAAGTACTATTTATCTGAATCTTATCAAAAAAGGCAGTACATGTGCAAGATCTGATGCCAGAATTTAAGATGGAGGAGGGCAGTAGTATATAAGTCTATGGGAGATTCACATTTCTTGCAAGAATTATCCAAATTTAAAATGTAGAAAATATTGAATCCTAACGCATCTATGGTTTTAAATAAAAATCATTTCAATTTTGTTTACTTGAGCGGATAAAGGACATTTCATGAGGAAAGACCCAATTCTTACAAAGATATGAACTATAAATCAAGTCAAAACGTCTGTAATCTGAACAGCAAATTCAACCACAGAATTCTGTCCTGCTGTCCAGCTTTTTGCATTATAGAATACTGCGATTTTATTTCAATTATTGTGGCAAAAATTTACCCTGATAATACAGATATCGACACAAAACACTGTCAAATTTACCACAGTGAATAGACAAAATTTGCTAGTATAATGTTTGTAATTTCAGCTAAATTTGTAGAGTTGACAAAACTAAAGCAAAGATAAGAAATTGAGTAGACATATGTAAAACCTTTAAGCAAACAGCACCAGACCAGGAGTAATAAAATCAGAAGTCTTACCTTCCCCGTGATGGCCGACCACACTTTGAGCGTGTTGTCATCAGAGCCGCTCACGATGCGATTGCCACAGAACTGCAGGCAGGTGATCACGTGATCGTCGTGACCTTTCAGCACCTATGGGAGAAGGCCGGGTGACACCAAGATTAAATGTGGGTGGTGGAGGCAGACGCAAGAGTGAGGGAGAGTGCGAGTGTGTGTGTGTGACAGGGACAAGTCTCGTTGGACATCAAGTGGAGAAGATAATGTCACTCTGTACTGAAGGCGAACAAGGTGTTTTAAGAGAACCTGGCTGCCTCGGCTTGAACGCTAGTGTGTGGAAGCAGGTTTTTACTATATAAACAAAGTTTGCGAACATGTAAAAATACACAAATTGACAGTATAGGATCTTAAATCTTATGCAAATGAATTAAAGGAGCATGGTGTGAACTTCCTGCTCGTCTCCACAGAGATATTATTGCTTAGCCTGCAGTGTTCCACAGTATGGCATTAACTTTAGAAGGTCCGGTATTACGCAAAATTGAGTCTTGTGAGCTTTAAGCTGTGTTATAATGTTGTTACTTCATCAAAAACATACCGGGAGTTGTGATTTTTTTATTTTTCATTCACACATTTTTGAGTCTTATTATTAGCCTGTCTGCATCAAAGCAAAGCTCATAATGCTCTGTTCCACCTTGCGATGTCATGAAGTGGTAGTTTTCAAGATAACAGCTACCTTTTACCTTCACTTCAGAAGAGATTGGCGGGTAGTGAAGATGTATGTTTTTGTGTTCTGAGAAAATAACCTAAATGTGCAGGGTTTGTGTGTTAAACATTTGTGAACGAAACAAAACACAACTCCAAGCATGTTTCTGATAAGGAAACAACATTATAAAAATAGCATAATATGGGCATTTAATGATTACAGGTATGTGTGTCAAGTCAAGTCACAGGTCAGATCTGTGGAGAAAAGAGCCCACCCACAGTAAGAATGCATGTTTTAATGTGAGTGCTGACATAAATGCTAAATAGTTTAATGCTATTCAGTGGAACATTTTATACAAAGTTATAACATCTCTATTAGACAAGCAGGTAGCGTGCCCTCCACCGGAAATGTACTGAAAAAAGTGTATAATTCATATGAAATTTTAAATCTTCAAAACAAAACCTGTAAAATGTGCATTCATATGGTAGCCATTGTCAATTAAAGCAATTCAAATCTTGTTTACCATCCTTGCCTCTGTGTCGGATTAACAACGTGTGAATGGAAATTTGCCTTCAGGACACAGGACTGCAAGCTCGGCATGGATCTCTGCATATTCAACAGTGCAGAGTGCCCTCCAGTAGATTCTTAATGATTAGCTAATAATGTTTGACGTGCATGGAGCAGTTTATTTAAGGGGGGGAAGACAAATGAAGTCACTGGACACATACTATGACCACTTCAATGTCCAGTTCCATTAGCATTCAGCCTGATACATGCTGAGCCATCACTAAGCCACTGTCACTTACTGAACCATCTTCCGGAGAGTCCTCTATAGTGTTTTTGTATCCATAAAACTAGCGCTAAACTTGTGGAGATTGTTAGTGGGGTAGCATGTTAGCAGGAGAAAGCAGTACCTTGGGTGATTTGAGGTCCCCCCTCCTCCAGTTGGTGTCTATCCGGTGCTGCCTGATGTAGGCGCTCTTCCAGGGGCTGTGCGTGAAGCCGGGTTTCACCACTTTCCTCTTCTTGGGCGGCAGAGGCTCATCGATGCCTGGAACGTACAGGGAAGGGAGAGGCCATGAGTAGAGTGGACTGAGAGGATTTCCAAAAAAAGACTAAACTAATGCCAGACATACACTGTGTGATATTTTGAATTCACTTAGCCCCAGTTCGAACTCTACGACTAAAACGCAGGGTTTTGCTGCAATACAACTTCTCAATTGCCAATACGGATACCAGTCACACCGCATAGTGTGAAGAAGTACAACTAACTCTATTTCAGAGTAATAATACAGAGTCAAATATTATAAACTTTACTTTTCTACTAGTCTTACTAAGATTACTTGTGACAACGACAATAAATCCTTATCTTGAATCTGAAACAAAGCGTGTGGAATAAAACAAGAGTGACGCCTGTAAAGACACTCATCACCGGGCACATGGCTAATTAATTATGCAGAGTAAACAAAGTTGTGGTAGCTCAATCATGAAAATATAGAGTGATATCAAATGAGTGACTGAGTACTCGCCAATACCAGTGCCTGAACAAATGTGCAGTATAGAAGCTTTGCCGATATCAGCATCGGTATCGCAACAACCCTACCCAAGAGTAATGGAATGTAGGTAGAGACATGTCAATTATTGCTTCAGCCTGAATAAAGAATATATTAGACTCTGACGTGAAGGGAATTTGGATTTGTTTTAACCCCCTTAACTCTTCATATATAAACACCTGACCTGTCTACCTCAGATGATATCGTTTGGTTGGTTTGTTGGTTGTCAGGCAATTCATTTAAATCTGAAAACTGAAAATAGTGTGTAGTCTATTAGAAATTCTGAATCATTTAATATGATTTCAAATGTACAGTGTATGACCAAACATACTCCTTTTTAAACATGTGTCCTTTTTTGATCGCATCCGAACACTGATAGTCTGTTTTATCACTGCCTGTAGCGACTAAAGCGGATCAGACTGAACAAAGCAGACTTCTAAATGTAAACACTAAGGCAGGTGTAAACAAGAGTAAAGCCGCGCGGCGTCTGCATTAACGGCACCAGAGCTCTCCCGCTGGGTGCCCACATGCTGCCCCTCTGCCTCGGTGCCCCAGCGCTCACCCTCCTCCCGACACTTCTCCCTCCACAGCAGGTTGTCTTCTGCCAGGATGCGCCAGTAGCGGCACGTCTGAGCGGCCTGGAGGAGGTCCTTGGGTTCCAGGAATGACAGCACGTACAGAGCCAGCTGTGTGGAGAACAAACACAGGGACAGGTGGGGTTAGGAGACAAAAGAGACAGATGGATGCAGATTTCGGGGTTGGTTAGCACAGAGAAAGGTAAATATTGGTATTACACGATGCTATGGATGTACAACAACAAGCCATTTTGCATTGACGCTGACATGCTTTAACTGCAATTTATATTTTTATGACTTGTTTTATAGTTTCTACTACATGAGAGAAAAAAAAATGTGATTACTTAGTGGGGTAAGGAGACAAAAGAGACAGATGTACGCAGATTTCAGGGTTGTTTAGCATGGAGAAAGTTAAATATTGGTATTGGATGAAGTAATGGGTGTTCCACAATAAGTTTTTTTTACTTTTTTAACTGCAATTTATATATTCATTACTTATTTTATTGTATAAAAAAGTAGAACATGTGTGTATAAAAATGTGTAAATACTTAGTGATGTTAGGTGACAAGAGAGACCGATTTAACAGCAATTTACAAATATAGTTTTAAAATTAAATTTAATTAGTTTTTTTTCCCTCATTCAGTTGAATACTTTTTAATCATGTGGCTATTAAAAATGTTGGTGCAGTTAATCAAGAATCCTAATTTGAAGCTTTTAATTAATGTTTTTCTTTTCTGTCTTAAATTTTGAGTATCTTTTTTGAAATATTAACTTCTAGTGAGACTTGAGAGACGTTCAGAATGATGATGAATTAAAACTTTTTCAGAGACCAGTTTTGCTGCAACAGTAAAACTACAACTAGCATGTTAACCGTGCATTTTCTGACAGACAGTACATGGCAGCTCAAATACGTGAAAAATTTTGTGTACAGGGTATTTAACATCATCTGAAAGGTCTAAAATGAGACAAAACCATGGCAAAACTAGTTCCAAATAAAGATGAACCCCAAAAAAGACAAATAGATCTGTCGTAAAGTAAACGAATACTCAAACGGGCCCCGTGCTCCACCAGATGCTTTGAGACACTGTTCTAGACCATAAAAGACAGAGGTTTGCCCAGGCAGTTAGGGGGTTTAAGACTGTATAATGGTATTCTGATCAAACCCAATTAATATTAGTCAAAACAAAGGCAGCAAAGCACTATGGGAGCTCTAGACAGAAGGTAATAATGGCCGCCGCCACAGATCACTGGGCCACAGCCTGCACAAAAGCAAAACGAGGAAATTAGAACAAATCTGCACTCATGTGAGAGAAAAAAAAAACATAAATGGCAACGTGACCTGTTTTGTGACATGCTTGAATAAAAAGTCACTGTCTCTGAACATATTTTATTTTAATGGTTTTAAAAGCAATTTGTATTTTTTTTTTATTCAATTTTCAACATATTTTTCAACTTTTTTTCATAAACTGCTTCTTGATTGCTGCAAAACTATAATTTATATTTAAAACAGGTACCATTAAGTAGAAATTAGAATCATCATGCGCACTTTAAATAGGGAGGCACCAAATGTGAGAATGTGCAGATCCATGAAAATTTGCTGGATTAGGTATTGACTCTAAAATATCAGTTCTGCAGATTTTCTGGTTATGGCTATGAACTGAAGAAGACTATTTACTGGTCATAGTTGGTCCACAAAGTCTCATGATGTTTGAGCTTTTAATATACAAAGTTAAAAGATAAAAAAAATTATTTACACAGTTGTTCTGTAGTTACTTGAGAGGTAAATAAGAGCTACATAACACATTTTGTTGTACAATATTTCTTGTTTTTAGGAAAATAAAGTCAATTTTTAGTCCCTGCACTGGTATCTATAGATATCGGGTATCAGTAGATTCTTAAAGCAATGGTATCAGAATCGGAACTGAAAAAGCTGGATCAGTGCATCAATGAATTAAAGGTGCACTGTGCAACTTTCCTGCTCGTCTCCATGGCGATATTATTGCTTAACCCGGAATGTTCCACAATTTGGCATCAACCTCATCGATCTTCACTAGATACACGTGCGCCAAGTTACAGGTCAGATCTGTGGAGAGGCGAGCTCACCTGCTGTAAGAATTCAGTTTTGGGTCAAGAGCTTTTGTGCATTATAACTGTCACTAATGGATGGAAATGAAACGGTGTATTTGAAGTGCAATAATGCGAGATAACCCCCAAAGTAAATTCAAATGGAGTTTGGTGACGGCGAGTGCGGGGACTATCAGGCGTGCACTCCTCATTAAGTACGTGATGTGCACTAGTTTGTACAGTCTCTCATCCACTCCCCATAGCTTTTCAGGTGTTGCTGTCAAATTAGCTGCACCGTAAGAAAAATGACTCTCCCAAAGGATATTTTAGGAAGTTTAAAGATTTAATCAAAAAGAGCTTCGCCGAGCTGCTGAAGTCGCAGGGATGAAAAATTGGCAGTTGGTTTTTAAATGATCATTCTTGTCACGTTTTGGTAGTAAACTTTTCCACCGCATTATGCTCGAATTCTCTGAAGCTTACGTTGATGTATAGTATCAGTTATTGAGATGGTAGAGCATAAGGGATGTAAAACTTTTTTTTTTTTACTTCATAAGTAGTTTAGTAGCTAGTTTTTATACTAGTTTTAGTATTGATTTGTATCTGATTTTAAATACTATGTCTATTTTAAATTTCTTTAACATAAACAATAGACTTTCAAGGGCCTATATTATGCAATTTTCTGATCTGTTATAATGTTGTTTCCACATTGAAAACATATCTAGAGAGGACATATCTGCTCCACTGTGTTTTTAAACTCCAGATACCTGCACTAGAATCACTCTGATGATTTCAGCCCTGGAATTACTAATCAATACTGAACTAAAGGGAAAAGGTCACTGTTAACTTGAAAACTACAGCTTCATGACATCACAAGGTGGAGCATTTTGAGCTTTGAAGATGTAGACAAATCTTTTTTAATTTGTTTATTTATTTCATTCATAAAGTATAAAAATACATCAACAGTGTCACAATATCAAACATACAAGAAATGAATTAAAAGGAGCAGAAAGAAGAGTAAACTTATGCTATCTGCTCCCTTTTCCCTGATTACTAGATTAATAATAAAGGATTACTGAAACCATGAAACAAAACACAACTCCATGTATGTTTTTGATTAGGTAACAACATTATAACATGGCTAAAAGCTCACAAGAATCCAGGACCTTTAACATAGTAAAATGTCTTCCTTACAGATTTGAATAAGCCATACTCTGACAGAAGATGGGCTGGCTTCCCTGTTAAAAAAAAAACCCATGCTCATCCTACTGATGGATTACAAACGACCAAATCTTGATCAACTGCACAGCCCCACTTATAACTTTAAGTTGGAAAACTTTAATTTATTCCTCCAAAAACATCTTTTCACTGACTTAAAACTGGCTGATGGATCATGTTGATTGCAATGTCCCAAGCTTTTCATCAGGATCTGCAAACATTCTGAGATCCAATTTCGTGTCCTAGTAAAATTACCAAAGTACAACTACAACTTTCTTCGTATTCACACATAGCTTGTTTTGACACTACCACCCAATAGTTTTCACATAGCCAAAACAAGCCAGTCAGCAAACAATTGAGCCTAAACTCATCTAGTGTTGTCACGAAACTAAACCTCGATTTCAATACAACACTTCAATACTCGATAATCAATAGGTACTATACCACAATGATAATTCACACTAAACACTATTTAGACAATACAATGTAATTTTCTACATTAAATCAGAGTACTTTCTTTTTACCTTCTTATTATCTTGAAGTCTTAATCGTTGAGATAGGTTCATAGTGGTCCATTGGCATATAGAAGTCTATGTGATCCCGCACTTGTTCTACAGCTCAAAATCTAACTCTAAAACTATTCAGGAAAGGGTCATGTCTGTAAATCTGACTATTTTAGTATCGATACTTGCTCAAGTGAGTTTCTAGTTTTGATACTTTTCAATATTTTGACCATCCGATAATTTTAAATAGACAAAACATGCAAGTAAGCCAACAATTCAGCCTACACTCAAGCCCACTACCCATAAACCCTGCGAATATATTTGTCTTTTTGAGCATGAATCGTGGGCACCTTGAAAGCCTTGAACGCTTGCCTCCTATTGCCTCAGCCTGTAATCTCCTCCCTGTCTGCTCGCTAACACCTGCCGACACCTGTCAAGGGGTGACATGGCGAGGAGCATTTGATCAGCCGCGTCAGGTGCGCAGGATGGGGGCTGTTTTGGTAGGATCCCCCCTGTGTGATCTTATCTTGTTTATATTGTCAGTTATGAGGCGAAACTACACGCCCACTCCGGAAGCTTTTGGAGTTTCGTACGTGATGTGAGGGGAGACGGTGACAGGACTGGGGCGCGAGAAGGGCGGGGAGCTCAGATTTAATGCAGGTTTGACAAATTGAGTCACAACTTGGGGAACTTTTGTGATCCAGCTTGATTTTTATCACAACAGATCATTAATAGCATACCAAGTCATGAAAGTAGCATTATTTTGCTGTCCTAGATTGGAATTATTGATGAAGACCAATATGAGAGTTAATTCTGCACTTTGATTGATCGTCAGGAGAATTAATAATCGATTTTCGATTAATCATTAACGTTTTTATAATAAAAGTATCCTCATTATTATTACTATTACTAATATGCATAAATAAACTCAACTTTACAACATATAAACCTTAACAACTCTAGAGAAATGTTTGAGATTATAATGTGTTTAATGCAGCTTTGCACAAGTCTTACAGAAACAAAACTTAAAACAGCATGGCTAATTTGCATAAACTAAGCAAAATAAATAAATAAATAAATGATGTGGTCAGCTTCTGTTGAACTAAAGGACACGACTCAGTGGATTATGTTTGTTCTTTCTGTGACAGAGGAATGTTGATGCTTAAGGTGAATCTGTTAAGTGCGTACATCGCATTGGAGATGGTTCATGTTTTCAGAGATCATATGTGTGCAGATTTAGCGCAAGTATACATGTGTGCATGTAAACACACTCACTGAGTAGTACAGTGATCTCCAAGGAAGTGCCAGAGCCCAATCGTGGGACTCTGAAGCCGCAACACCAGTATTTGTGCTGTCAGACGCAGCTTCGTATCTAGGCAGAGAAACCTACATTCGGTTTGTTGATTAAAAATGAATGTAATCGATGAAACTGTTAATGATCAATTGTCGATTAGTCGACTAATCATGCCCATCCCTAGTGGGAACAACAATAGGCTTTTTGTTGTTGTTCTTAAAAAAAAAAAAAAGTATTGTATGTGTATACCTCTCTATGCACATTTCTGTCTTACTTTGGGTTAGTCCTTGCGTCTTTGCTTAGAACTAGCATAGGAAGTGTGTAGTCACATTTTAGAACTGGTCTGGCCTAGGGACACAAAGATCCAATATCGATATCAGCTTCCAAATATCAGTTCACCCATATCCTAATTGGACATATTGGGTATTGGCAGATATTTAATGCTATAGTATTGGAATCAGTATCCAAGATGAAAAAGCTGGACTGGTTTTAGATTTGATGGTACTTGGAAGCAGGTCCATTGACAGGGGTAAGAAGCCTCACATGGGCCCCATTTAATATAAATTAGTAGAAAGAGGGTCCAGTTCTGGGCACCTAAAACCCTTAGCCATGGGACAGCAGACCCCTTTGCCCCCCTTTGTCTCCTGCCCTGGTTGGAAAACTAAATATTATTGTTGGTATAAAAGATGAAGATCCACTGGACTAACCTTAGAATAAAACCATAAATGTCTTTGCTTATAATTCTAAAATTGTGCGAAGCTGTTTATTGAACAGACTAGCTAATGCCTCTTCATGTAATAAAAGACTTTTAATATATTCAGTCAGAGTGCCTCAGGTTTGTACCTTGCCCACTTTAACATTTTTCAGTAAGGGCTACAGTCTGTTAAGATTTCAAGTTCAACCCTTGTAGAGCACCTGCACTCCTGCACTGCTACTTTTGACTTTTTTATGACCCATTGCAGCGCTTTACCTCTTCTCTTCATCTAACATCGAGACCGGCTAATGTTCGCAGCCATTTTAATACCAAACGCTCCTTCTTGCCTACATTTTTCACCAATTACATGTTTCAAAACCCCTGAGACGTTCATTTTTCCCATTATCAAACACATGCATTTCAATGAGCATTAGTGAAATAGCTCCGTCTACATGTGCTCACTTACCTCTTTGGGCAGCAGGGAAATGAAGTCTCTCTGAAACTGTGGCTCTATCACCTGCATCATATGTTTGACCTGCGTGGGCTCACAGCTGTCAATCAACTCATCCAGCGCCAGCAGCTTCTCGGGTCCAGTCCAGCTCTGGGAGAAAGAGAGAAAAAGATAGTTTACTCAAGTGACCTAGTTAAATATTTTTTTATAGTGCAACAGCCATTAAAATATGTTAGGAGTGAATCGGCAGCTGGTGTCAATGAACGAGAAGGTGAAGCTAATCAAAAGCACTGAGTTGCAGCGACTGGCAGCCGGGCATGATAATGATGTTATGATATTTTATTGCTGGGAATAAAATGGCATCTCACATAGCTGCGATGTGCACTTCCCTGTTGACATTCATTTCAAGTAATCAAATTAGATCATCATCTTTTGAACGCCCTTATTTTAACATACAACTTTTATTGACTTTGCAGTGTCCTAGTAATAGTGAAGTATGAAGGTGTAAGAATATTGTGTTTATCTATAATTGGAAAAATGTAAAAAGTAGACAAACTAAAAGGCCTGTATCAACTTATTTATCATGAGTACTTTTTCTTTGTACTCTTAGGGCAGTTTTGGTATTTGAAGGTTGAATATCTTTACACTTAGTTGTTTCACGCTGCGATTTACTTACTTTTTTAACTATATCGTACATTTAAAATACTTTAGGGCATTTGTGTCATTGGGATAAATTGGTTCCAGTGCCATCGTTAATCACCTATATTTTCTTCAGCAATATATCACACTTCAAAATTTGTTATGATAGGCCCATGTGTGATGCTATACTTCTGCATTTTTGTGATTCATTTTACAGTTCAATCCCTTTTGTGTGATACTTAAACTTCAGACAGTCTTTTTTTTTATACAGATTAATAAGATTAATCAACCTTGCAATTTGAATTGAATTTTCTGCTCCAGGTTTGTCACCTTGTTTATATAAATGTGTATCACTGCTCTGCTTCAAATATTCCACAATATGGCATTAAACCGATCTACATTTAATACATTTAATATCTTTATTCAATTACAGAAGGTTTTACTGCCCAAAAATACCCAGAAAAACAAACATTCTCACTGTGAGCAGGGCTGCCTGTCCACAGATCTGACCATCTTTGTGATGATAGAAAGGTTTAAAACCACACTGACAAACTGACAAAGCAATAACAAGATCTCCATGGAGAAAAGCAGACTCCACCAACAAAGTTAAACAATGCACCTTTAATAAAAGATAAACCGCAAATCTAACTTCAATTGGAATATTTTTCTTGAATCATTCCTCCCTAACTTCAAAAACATAATTATCTATTGTATACAGAAAAATAAATCATATCAATCTCTCACTGTTACACAGTGATTACACTATACACACAATTCAAGAATCATCGCTCAATCAACAATTCTATTCAATTGCTGTTTATTACATAACCATAGCAGTTAGTTTAAGTCCCGTCTAGCCCAGCCAGACTAGTCTCTACACGGCTCCACGCTGCTTTGTCTCCACTAAATGAGACACTGGCATGCGTCCTGTACAGAGCCTGAGGACAGAGGGGGAGATGGTTGTCACTCTCACGCTTCTCCCACTCCTACAAGGGAATTGAAACGCGTGACGACCACATCTGGACTTGAGACTTTCCCGCTGTCTACTCATGTATAAAATGCGTTCTTGGCGTTATGGGCTGAAGGTGCCAGTCAGACAGAGGAGTGAGAATGCCTGTGTAAGCTTCTTCTTGGCAGCTCAGATGGGATGAATTGATTGGAGTGCTGTAGGAACATGGAGCCCGCTGTAATGTGCCTATAATACATTAATGATCTGTACTGTGCACCTGTCTGTACCTCGGAGCCAACTCACGCGCGGAAAATTTGATCAAGACAAAAGCTGCTCTACATCGGCAGCACTAACAGACCCCTGGGTTTGGGTCCTGGCAGAACATTGGGTTGTGTAAAGCGTGTCGAACAAAGCAGCAGTTTGGAGTTGGTTGTTTTTCTTGCAGGAAAAACTCCAATAATGACTACAGGCTCAGAGGCAGGGTGGAAAATGTGGCGCACATAAACTACCTGTAATTTGGCAGCTCACAGCTTTAGCCCGGGGTGCTGGTCTTGGACGTGATTGGACGATGTGGGCATTTTCGCACCGATGGCCAGCTAATTGTCGCGTTCCAAAACAGATTTTTTTGTGTTCCACCAACGTAATTGCAGATAGTTGGTTTAAAATAACATATGCCAAGATTCTTTTTTTTTTTTTTTTTCCAAACATTTACTGAAAGAAGCAGGGTTGTATTGAAAATAAGATACTAATCTATACTAAAGCCAGTCAAAACTTGTTGCTCATTTGAACAGGTAACGTAAACAGACTAATAATAAAGGCGTATTCAAACATCAAAGATCAACGTGAATGAAAAAACTAAACAAATATATCATGCCAAATATAGCATGGCTTAAAGCTCAAGAGTCCTTTTCTTGTAATATAGGACATTACATTTAGTAACCACCACTAGTAGTGGAAAACCTGTGGATTTAGTGGAACTAAACACTAAATCCACAGTTTTTCCACTTCTAAACTGTATAAATGGTGTTTTAATAGTAGGGATGGGCATTTGATAAAATTGTCTTAATCGATCGTCAGGAGAATTAAAGATCGATGATTGATTAATCATTAACGTTTTGAAATTAAAATTATCATCATTATTATTACTATCTGCACTTCTAATCTGCATAAATAAATTCAACTTTACGACATATAAACTGTAACCACTATAGAGCCACATCAGCCCGTTTAAGATTATAATGTGTTTAATGCATCTTTGCACAAGTCTTACAGAAATGAAACTTAAAACCATATGGCTAATTTGCATAAACTAAGCAAAGAAAAAAACAACTCTTGTGCGCTGATGCAGTCAACTTCTGTCGGATTAAAGGACATATAATATAGGTTATAGGTTAAGGTGACCTATATTTGCATTTGTCAAAATCAGGACACCATACAGGAGGTGGGAGGTGGGGCCTCATCATCGACATTGAGCTACTCTCACCTGGCAAAGCTTTTTAATGTTTTCGGTGTCCTGGTGAGGTTTGAGGTCCCTGGAACCCCCACTGGACACCGAAACATATGTGCCTGCTTTGTACACTGTGCACACGGCCTCCCACTTGTCGTGACCGGGACAGAAAGCGGGGAATTTCTTGTACAAGTCATTGTTAAATGCGCATTTGTGCTTCTGCATTTTGCAGGCTGACCAACTGGCTCCTTCTGAGTGCAGAGAACTACGAGAGCCACTCAGTTTAATGACCCAATGAAAGGTAATGAAAACCGGGACATTTGCGTCACTTTATATATATATATATATATATATATATATATATATATATATATATAAACCCGGACGGCCAAGACAGGACGTGGAGAACGGACATGTCTGGGGAAAAACTGACATTTGGTCTTCCTACACTACACACAGCAACCTACATTCGGTCAATTAAAAATAAATGTAATCGACGAAATTCTTAATGAGCAATTATTGATTAATCGACTAATCATGCCCATCCCTACTTAATAGCATTATCTTATGTTCCTAGTTATTTTTTGGCCTTCAGTAGCAACTGTAGTTTCAAGTACTACGCGACATTACAAAAGACTGCCCTGATTATGAAGTGTGGATACTTGTTAGACCAATCACACTGTTCCTTATACCCTCCTCCCCCCCGCACTCTTTTCTTTAGTTCTCCCAGCACTGCCCCAGTTTAGCAGCTCTATTTGAAACGTGGTTGTGGGCGGAGTTTAGGTGTTTGGGTAGGTCTCCCTCTTCAACTCCATTAGATGATTGCTATTTTGGTGAAACCCGTCAAATCATCTTTATACCATCTTTTCATCCTTATATCCCAAAGCAGCCTGTGAGGAGAGTGTGCTCCTTCAGTCTCAGGAGATCCCCCGGTGACAAAGCTCCACCTGTGATCACGGAGCAGACACTTGAATGCACCGCGTGCCGAGAAAGAGGAGGAAGAGGAGGAGGAGTGTTTTGCCTTTTAATCAAGTGATGAGGTGGTGATGAAACGCTCCGCTGCAGACGATCAGGGGAGCACCGGAGGGAGGGCACGGAGAGGTAGACACGGGCACTTTATTTTTAGATGGAAAAGGAGAAGTGGTTGGAACGGTAGGGAACTTTGCATGAGCTGATTAGAGTGACGTTTCGGTAACTGCAATCAAGACGGCGCGCCCCTCCAAAGGCATTGCAGACTCGTCTTGCATTGGTTAAAGGGCCCATATTATTTTAGTTCTTGATCTACGTTATAATTAGGGTTGGGTATCATTAAGGAGTTGCAGATACAATACATATGTCAATACATAGGCCATGATATGATACACATCTCGATACAGGCCACTTTCGATTCGGTACAATCTATTTCAAATCGATTTGATACGGTTCAATAACAATAACGGCTAAATCATGGCTGTGATACAAAAAGTCTTTGTTAAACCACTTCTTGTGCAAAGTTAATATAAAATACACCAATTTCAGGCCATGTGTTGCATAAATGAGTTTTCCTTCCTCACTGCTGTAACAAAATAATTGAGAGAAATATACCAATACAATATATCGATATTTTGATATTTTTGCACACCTCTAGTTATGTTTTTCCTCATCAAAAACATACCCGGAGCTGTGTTTTGCTTCACTTACAAGTTTAAACACACAAACCCTGGCTGCATATTAAGGCCGAGTTCTTGTCTCTAACAGAAAACACTGTTCCACCTTGTGATGTCATGTGGTAATACAGGAAGTTAATTACATTGTATAAGTAGCTTTCGAGGTCAAGATAAGTGAGATGTGTACTGTCTGCACATAATTATAAAGTGTTGCATTGTCTGAGAATCAGGATGGGTGTGGTTAGCATGTAAAAAACTGAACCGCGGTGAATATTTAGGATGGTTTGAATTCATAAGGTAAGTGAGCAATAACTTTGGACCATTGCAAAATGCTTTAAATGAACCAACTCTGTTTTTTCACGATTTTAAGACAGGAAAATCAGGTACAAAATATTTCAGGTTGATCTAAGCTTTCCTCACATTTATAATTTGATCAAATTTTTGAATGCACAACTAGTAGTACAGCAGTAGTAGCATTGGTAGTTGCATTAGTATTCATAGCTGTAGCAGCAGTTGCAGTAAAAGTACAGTATTAGTAAGGTTTAATCTGTTTTTAATTCCAAAATATTTTCATTAAACAGACTTAACTTTGAGGCTTGTTCATTAGTAGTACCCTCAAATAGAAAGTACATGCCGCAACTAGACTGGGGAATGTTCAGAATGCTGTTTTTGAGGTTAGCTATAGATTAAAGACAGTGGTGCAGCAGCTCAGGGCTACGAGCTAATGGAAAATAAACACAGGCTCAGTCAGGTGTTGTAGGTGGGCCACGCTGTTCCAACATAATGAGTCAAAATCTCTTAGGTAATGAGATCCAAGGCAACCTATTATACAGCAGATCACACAGCCCCCATTGAGACTAATATGATTCAATGACATCTTATTTCCATAGGGTTGTCATCTAAAGCTAATGGATAAGACAAATAATATTAACGCCTATGCTCAAACAGTGATGAAACGGCAAATTGAAAAGAGGAAAATAGGCTGACGGAGAGAATAATCAGATTAACTCCTTATATTTTTAAACTCGATATCAGAATAATGAAATAAAAGCACCAGGATTACATAGAGCGTTAATCCAAACATTTTAAAGACCGAAATTACAAGCCTGACAGCAGCAGTTACAGAGAGGGGGGACGTTTTTTTCTTTTGTTTTTTTTTCAATATAAAGTGAATTGAAGCCAGAGTTGATGGAGCCGGAAGTGTGCCCATGGTCACTTCCGATTTCAATTTATGGTGTGATAGCTTTTGCGCCTGCCAAGAGTTCATCATTAGGGCTGGGTATCATTAAGAAGTTGGCAATACGATACATACCTCGATACACTGGCCACGATACGATACATATCTAGATATAGCAGGGTATCCCCACGTTTGACTACCCCAAATTTAAGACCTTTTTAAGACCTTTTTAAGACCACTTAAATGAAAATTAAGACCAACATCGTATGCGGGCAAAAAACACCAGATCCAATTCTAATAATGACCTTTACTTTATTAATAACAAAAAATACTTACTCATTTATAGTAGTATGCATTGCTTGTAAAATGGCATACAAGACATAACAAGACAAACTAAGTATTGTTTGTGCATACTCCAAATTAGACGTTCATTCACGTTACATGATTTCACTTTTTTTGTTTGTTTGTTTGTTTTTCCTCCATTTATAGAGTATACAAAAAAATAGGCTCATGAAATTTAAGACCTTTGTGAAAAAAAATAAGAGTTTGACAACATAATTTAAGACTTTTTAAGGCCTTCATTTAGGAACATGAAATTTAAGACCTTTTTAAGACTTTTAAGACCCTGTGGCTACCCTGTATCGTGAGCTTTTGATTCAATATGATATATTTCAAATAAGTTCGATACAAACCAATAAAAATAATGGCTAAACGATGGCTGTGAAATTAATAGTCTTTGTTAAACCATTACTTGTGCAAAGTGAATACGAAAAACACCCATTTTAATCCTCAAAATTGTGAAAAATGTCAAATGTGTCGCATAAAAGCGCTTCCTTCCTCTGAAGAAGCAACAAAACTATAGCATTGTAACAAAATAATTTAGTTAAATATACCAAAAAATACTCTTGGCGCTATATCGATACAGCAGTCCATGATATTGATACTGTATCACCACATTAATAAAAATATATCGATATTTCAATATTTTTGCACACCGCTAGTTATCATGCTAGTTTATGATGTCTTTAGCATTAGCATAATATTAGCTTACAAGAGTCTTTTTCCATTCCATTCCTTTTTTTCAGGACATGGAAATAAAGTGGCAGAAACACTCCAAAAATGTGAGCTAAAGTGAACTCATGATGAAAGTGCGCAAAAGTTAAGAGTAGTTTACGAATGCATGAGTTTATGATGACAATATTAACTCATGTCGGTCTTTTTCATCTCAACTTCTCAGTTTATTGCTGTATGCCAAATTGTGCTTAATGTAATATGTGTTTATGCTCGCAGAGTTATGCTAATTTGAAGATTACATAAAGTCTAGTGCTAGTGTTTATAAAATGGAACAGCTTTTTATCATGTCAGATACATTCCGCTCATTTTAAGCAGTAGAAGTCAACTTATTTACATCTGATAGACTGGATGACTTCAAACATCCTACATTACGCAAAACTGATTCTTGTGAGGATTAAGACATGTTTAAGCCTCAACATTTTAACATGTTTTGAGTAATCCTGCATTATTAGTCTGTCTATATCTCCAACGCTCAAATTTCCCAGATCACAAGTTGGAACAGAGCCTAAATATGCAGGGTTTGTGTCTTAAACATGTGCGAATGGAACAGAACACAACTCAAGCCTTATTGGTCGAAACAGGTTGGCGTCCCTTCATGTAGTAAAGGATTTTTAATAAATTCAGTCGGTGTGCCTCGGGTTTGTACCTTGCCTACCTTTACATTTCTCAGTAAGGGCTACATTCTGTTAAGATTTCAAGTTTAACCCCCGTAGAGTACCTCTACTGCTACTTTTGACTTTTTTATGACCCACTGTAGCGCGCTACCTCTTCTTTTCATCTAACAACCACAGTTATGTTTGTGACGAGGAAACATTATAACAGATCAGAAAATGGCGTAATATGGGCCCTTTAAAAAAATACTACACTGGTCCCTTGTTTATCACCAGGGTTACGTTGTAAAAATAACTCGCGACAGGTGAAATCCACGAAGTAGTAAACTTTATATTTTACAATTATTCTGTTTTAAGGCTGTAAAACCCCTCACCAAACACTTTATACACTTTTCTCACACAGGACAGTTAAGCCTTTTTGCATCCTTCTTAAAACTTATCGCTGCTGTCGTCCTGTATTTTCCTCTTTCTTTATGTAACAAACTGAATGACCACGCAGTATAGTACCGCAAGCACCCGTTAACCCGAGATTATATCAAACCTTTGCACTGCCTATGCCACAGACTGAACGAAGACTAAACCAGGACTAACCTATGACTGATTCCAGGACTGAAGAGGAGGACTAAACCAGGACTGAACTAGAACTAAAACAGGAGTAAACCAGAACTGAAACAGGACTCACTGTCGAGACAGACTCGAAGGTGACTGCAGGAGAAAGGAACGGCTCAGCTCCGCACCTCACGAAGTTAAGGCCGTTGCCTGTTCACGCTAACACCCCTGTTCTCTCTCTTAAGTCCTGGTTTCAGCAACTATATGCGGGTACCTGACACGGTGCAAGACTCTGCGTAACTTCTATCTTCCTTCAGCATACCCAGAAGTCCAACTTTTTGTGCAATGGTTACATCTTCCTCTGCCTTTTGGGTGCGACCGCATGAGCCTTTGTCAGTGCAGAACGTTTCGTCGACAGTAGTGAGTGCGTATACATGCACATCAATATCCCGGTTATTAGCCATATCCCGGTTATGTCAGTATTCGGGTTACTGTGTTCTTTTTGTGACAGAAGAGGCGCTAATGATGGTAAGTCTGTTCTGTGCGTGTGTTGTATAGGAGATAGTTCATGTTTTAGCTTTTCAGCGATCACACGTGTGCAGGTCATACGAGTACAGATTGTATGTGTGCAGGTTTAGCGCAGCTCTTAATTTGACAGTCATTTTACTCGTGTGGTCACTTTATTCATGTTGGTCAATTTATTTATGTCGCTACTGTTGTGGTGAAAAGACTGGAAAGTGTCTTTTGGACGCATGCGCACTCAACTTTATGTTGCAGTAACCGGGGTACTGCGTATACATGCCACAAGTATCCCGGTTACTATCGGAATAAACCAGATACAGTAACCCGGTTTCTAATAACCGGGATACTGCCATAACCGGGATAATGAAACCGGGTTACTGCATATACATGCACCATCAAGAAACCGGGATACTCAAAAAACGCGATCATAACCGGGTTATTGATGTGCATGTATACACACTCAATGTGGGTTTTGTCGGGGAGAAAACGTGCAAACATACAGCACTTCAGAATCACTAGCGATCGAATATTTATGTAAATTTGGCAGCTGAACGCATTACTGGACTGTACAGAAGACAGGAGTCCCTTAGTCAATCAGGACACAGTGGGAGGAACACAATACACATTCATACAGTGTAAAAAAAATAAAATAATGCAAAACAGAAACAGCGAGACCGCGAAAGGTGAACCGCGATATAGCGAGGGACGACTGTATACTGAAATTTCAATGTGTACTTTCTCTGTAGGTTAACTGACCCAAGCCAAGGCCAAATTCATATTTAACTCAAATGACAAGCCATCACTAGAGCTTGAGCAAACAGAAGCTATGACTCTGCTCTCAGTGCGAACAGGTATGGCTAATAGCAATTCCACGCTACACTGCCTATGGTAATGTGGAGGGCCAAAACAACAAGGCGGCAATTATCTGAGAGACTAAGTGAACACTGATTGGGTACAACATCTGCTTTTTGATGAGTTTTTCCTTCAGGCCCAAGAGAGCACCCACGGGAGCCCGGGGAACAGGAGCGAGGGGAGACGGGTGTTTGGGTGCTGACCTGAAACGTTCGGAGCCATTCCTGCAGACCCGTGGGTGGCTGGATGGAGGTGATGCGCCGTCTCTGCTGCCCCTGACCGTTGGCTGTGCGGATGTGGCCGAAGGTGGTTGGCGTGGCCGGACATGGGACGATTCCTGCAGGGCTACAAGACAGAAAAAATGACAGAAATGGTTAATAGGTCAAAAAGCAAATGTTAGAATGGCTTTGGAGCTAAGGACTTTGGAAATGAATAAAGATGCAACAATCGTCGACTGAAAAAATGCTTTATCAGATATCAGCTTCGAAATATCTGTGTCAGACAATATCCTGATTGGATCTATAAACTGATGTTATATGATTATTTATAATTGTCGTATCTGACCCAGAAAGACTCTTAATGTTTGAATTTGCCTTTATACAAAGTTGTTCTGTAGCTGCTTGACATATAAATAACAGCCACATAACACATTTGGATCAGTTTTGCCTTATTTTATTTTTGGAAATGAGGAATAAATATTGTTATTACTCTTTGCCCTGGTATTTATATCTTCTCAGTATGTAAACTTAAAAAAAACAAAAAACACTAAAATAAATGCCTACTGAGTTTATTGCACTTAAAAACTGAGGGGGCATGCATGGAGAGGAGGGCCTTCTCCAGCTTGTTTCCATGGAAATGTTGTTCCATTGGCTATAATTTTACACTTGGGTGGCATGAAAATAAATATAGACAATAAACGATAATACTGAAACCAAACCATATAGCAGAATTATTCGCCAATATGGATTCTAAATGTACAATATTGTTCAAAAATATGAGCTGCAATAAATACATAACAGAATGCATAAGTACTTAGTTTGTATCTTTAATGAGGCGTAGAAGTTATTTATTCAACCCTCTACAGCTCAAATCATAGTACAGAAAAATAACCAAAATATCCCTCCTAGTACAAAGAAAAAGTACCCATGATAAATATGTACCATTTAGCATGTACTGAATAATAGCCCTGTCAAGATAAGTGCTATATCAACTGTGTGGTAAGGTTTATCAAACAGAATGCAAAACAGACTGAATTAAACATTGGAAATCATATTAGGTCTTTCAAAAATGTGAAAAGTAATTGTTAAATTCTATCATGTGTGCATAGGCCAGTCCAACTACAGCATAGTACATTAGAACATGTATTATTCAGGGAACACGTGACACATTACATTGTGCAAATAGCTATTGTAGAGCTTTTGACGTCCAGTGGAATTAGAATGGCATTAAGTGGTCACTTTAATTATTGATTAAGGTGGATTTAGGATTAGTTCCACTGCGCCCTCATCATTTGTATTCGGCTTACAGTGAGAATCCATGACAAGTCAATGATTCAATGTTTCATATGATCCAATTTCATGAAACCCTACAACAGCAGACTGTCATATATTGATTGATTGGTGTTATTCATACTACTGTTACATTGACTGCTGAGATGTTGTCTACAAAGCGGTTTTTTAAATAGTTTTACCTCCTCAGAGGCATACCCGGATTTGTGTTTTGAAGTCATGTAATGGTAGTTAACAGCTACCTTTTACCTTTTTCAGTAAAGATTAGCAAGAGCTGAAATTATCCAAATGATTCTAGTGAAGGTGTGTGATGTTTAAAAACTGTATTTCCACATGACATCACAAGGTGGAACAGAGTGTTTTCTCAGCCTAAAAATGCAGGGTTTGTGCGTTAAACATGTCTAAATGGAAAACCCAACTACAGGTATGTTTTTGATGAGGAAACAACATTATAACATAGGTCATAAAATATAGATCAGAAAATACCGTATAATAGGAGTCTTTAATGTTGGGGTTGCTAGGTAACAGTTATGAAATTACTCCACATATATCTTATTGACTACTCACGTCCAATCATGCAAATTTATAAATTTCTCCAAAAGTAAAAAAAAAAAAAAAAAAAACTAGAGGAAACCAGATTTTTTGGTGAAATGTTAAATATAATGATAACTATGTTTTAGTTAAATGAGTAGTCTAACCTAGCCTGATTCACTTTGTAGAAACCGACTGACCTCGCAGTGTTAGATTTCGTTCGCTTGATGGTAGGCGGGTACTTTTTATCATTTAACTAATCGCTGTTATTTGGTAGTCACGTATGTAATGAGCCACTAATGGGGCTAACTGGTATATTAAGTTTTTCCCAAATCCCGTAGGAAGAAGGACAATAACGTCTTTCCCTTTGATAAAATTCACCAAATTTTCGCTATTCCGACTTTAAATCCTCGACCTCAGAAATTGTTGACAATGCTAAATATACTTACTAATATACGCTCTTCGCTGACTGGTTGGTGCCCGAACATGCACTTCAGGGGTTTTTGCGAACCGTCTATTGTATTTTGATTTTTAACCTAGTTGCTGGAAAGAAATGAAACTGAGCGGAGGTACTAGGTGGTGTCAGCCTGGCTAAGTCTGAGCTCTCATATCAACTTTAAGAGCTTTAATAGAGTGGACATAAGATTACACATCTTATATTTGTTAGGTCTAAAAATATCATTAAATATTCTGTGAGCTAGAATATACATTTTCATTTGCATTCCCACAATTTAATTAAATTTCTTAAGTCAAAACTAAAGGACACTAGGATTACCATTATCATGCCAGTGGAGTCTTCCCTTTGAATGACCCTCTGTATATAAAGCCGTGGTGGACTTCAAAGCCCGCCCATCTGCCCTTGTGATGTGAGGGCAGCCGCAGCACAAATCCCATCTCATACTCCCACAGCAAATATGCAACCGGGGGTCCATTTCATTATTGATTTATATTTAATGGGGGAGGAAGCTGAGCCCGGCTAGTTACACGGCAGCGTTTACAGTCAAGTGGCCGCGCAGAGTGAGAATTTTAATGCGGCTACATGCTACATATGTGCACAGTGCCATGAAATATGAATGCTCCGAGGAACATCTGGGGCTGCTGTGTGGAGAGCTCGTGGAATATTGTTGAGGGGGATTCTGTTTGAAGCCGCGTATGGCATTATAGCCGGTATGGTTTCTTGGAATATACAGTTGGTTTGTTTAAGAGGTGTGAAGAGGGAAGGGTAGTATAAACAAAAGCAGGGTGAGAATTTGAACAATAACAAATACAGGCAGGTGGATGGACTTTGAAGCATTGGGTGGTCGTGGTGGTGCTGTGTTTTTACCTTGGATATTCTGTGCCTTTGCAGGGTTTCTTTCCTGAAGGGAATGATCGGACCTCGGGGCCATGGTCCAACTTCCTCTTCATCTGTAAGGCAAAAATATGAGCATGTTAGACTAGAGATTGGCGAAATGTATTAAACTGGTAAAATAGTCACATTTATATAATGCTTTTCTACATTCAAACCATTCAAAGCACTTTACATCAAGGAACCGCTCACCCATAGGCATGTCATGATAATTACTATATTTACTTATCGTTCAGTATATATTTGAGGCTGAATATTTCTCGTGTGCACTGTTTCTTTGCAATAATGAGGAGGTTTCTACATTTTTTAAAGTAATACGGTAAGATCTGAGCTGTAGAAAATTGAGTAGTTTCTAGGACTAATTATTGGTTTCTTCTATATTTATTAGTTGTAGCTATGACTTTCAATGATACTGTATTTAAATATATCTATCTATCTATCTATCTATCTATCTATATATCTATATCTATATCTATCTATCTATCTAGATAGATAGATAGATTTTTTTTTTTTTACTGGGATTATCCTTTATTGTTATTCTGTCAGTGGCATAAAGTAGTTTCAATATTATAATTTATTGTGATATTCATGTGTACACAGCCACTGGAGATGGGTGGGTTAAGCGTCTTGCCCAAGCACACAACAACAGTATCAGTGGGACCCGAAGTCTCCAACCTGCTGTATCAAAGATGTTTTCTGTCAAGAGGAACTGAGCTACTGCTGCTCCTGACAGACAAAAGAATGACCAAATTGTTGTTTTGAAGAGAAGCAACATTTGAATATCGACTATATCACAATAACAAAAAAGTCAAATAATCAGAGTGGATACATTCATTTATGCACTATTTAAACCCCGACCAGGAGAAGTCTGATAGATTGCAAAAGTACGAGGTCCCAGATTATTGTTATCAAGACCCTTGAGGGGAAAAATAAAATGAATAAAATTTTTTAAATTGCTTCAGTACGACACCAACTGTTCTTCATCATTTCTCATTGTCTTATAAATGAATGCTACAACAGCTTTTTCCTGTTTTCGAGTCAGCTTCTAGGCATAGCATCTGGATTAGTGAGTCATTTGTAACAATGGAATATTATTATTTGTAACTAAGCACGTCTCAACAGGATAGCTTTGTTCACACCTACTTTTAGAGAGGTTAAGCCCGGGTCACCTCTGTGTTCAATAGAAGGCTCATTACGACATTTTACGCTTAGTGGGGCTTACAATTCACCAAGGCAAAAGGCTAATTTCTTCTAAAACATAACACTTGAGCATACGACGGACTCTGTTAACATTCCGCCTGATTTGCTGCGTATTAAAAACAGCACAGGCACTCGGAGTCTTGCGATGAAGTGAGGAAATGCAAATGGGAAATTAAACTTTAATGCCCCGGCTACAGTTTCAATTTATCAACACGTTTGATAACAGCGGAGAAGGGTGGGGACCTAACCTCAGACGAATAGACGAGATGTTTATTGGATCGTAATGCCGGGGACTGCTTTCCATGTTGGAGGCATGTGACAACAGTGATTACCAAGCAGCAAGAGCCCACATAATAACTGGAGGCGATAAAAGCTAGCTAAAAAACGAAAGACCTGAAGCCATTTTTTTTCTCTTTTTTGGCAGTGAAATTTGATTCTAGGTGATAGTTGGAAAAAGAAAAACAAACCAAGCAAGTCGGTGTTTATCATTCTCTTTCACCTGCACACAAGCAGCCAGGGCCTATTACCACCTACCCTGCTGCGCAAACAAAGGGGCCTGTGTACGGGCCGGGCAAGCCAATTTAGTCCGTCCCATGACTGCCACTCTCTCTCGCGCTCTGGCAACGCTTCCTGCCACACATGCAAGCCATCACCAGCTCTCATCTCCCTACAGAGGCCCAAAATGTATACAGTGTCACAGGCTGGCTTGTGTTTGACAAATATGCTTCAACGATGGGACCGTGTATATGCACAAAAGTAGTACAATTATTGGATTTCATTGTTAATGGTATACGTATGAGAGATGGTTTGCTAGTAGAGATAAATTGTCTACTCTTTTTCTACTGGAAAACGCAGAAAAACATGTGTCATTTCTCTGAGCAGGCTTGCATCTCCACATATCTGACTCTTATTTAGCCAGGAGAAGGGCCTCCTCCTGCTTGTTTCCATGGAAATGTTGTTGCTTTGGCTATATTCTTCCACATTATAGCATGAACACTTATATTTGAAAAGAAAATGTTCAATGGAATCATACAGGCAACTGGCACCACTTAGTACCTCCGCTCAATTTCATTTCTCTCCAGCGACTAGGTCAGGAATCAAAATACAATAGACGGTTCGCAAAAACCCCAGAAGTGCAAGTTCGAGCACCAGCCAATCAGCGAAGAGCCATATATTCTGTGTTGGCAACGATTCCCGAGATTGAGGATTTAAAGTCGCAACAAAGAGTATGTTTTATGAATTTCATCAAGGGGAAAGACATTATTGCCCTTCTTCCTACGGGATTTGGGAAAATCTTAATATACCAGTTAGCCCTGTTAGCGGCGCATTACATATGTCACGACCAAATAGCAGCGATTGGTTAAATTATAAAAAGTACCCACCATCGAGCAAACAAAATCTAATCTAAGGCTGTGAGGTCAGGTCAGACGGTTTATACTAAGTGGAACAAAGTCAAAACTGATGAATCAGGCTAACAGGCAACTTACTGTCTCCTAAACTTTACTTCTTTCATAAAATTGAATTCTGATTTACCAAAATAAAAGAATAACAATTTGACGGTGGAATTCTCTTTATGTAGCCACTCCTCATTCAAAACGCATCAATCATCAGTCTCATATTCATAATTGAAAATGGGTCAGGCTTTATGAGAGACTTTTCATTGCTGTTAAGAGTTCTCAAAATAGCTCCCAAATTAAGTTGGCTGGCATTTTGGCATTGTTCCTGGATCATTGATTGGGTTATAAAAGTCAACTGGAATTGCTGGGTGAACAAGTACAAAAAAATGAAAATGCAAATAAAACCTTCTACAAATCAACTCAATTCAAACTTCACTCACGCGATTTATTCTCTAGAAATTTCTCCTCAGTGACAGTTTGAGCCCAACTTAAAAACACAGTTTGCGTATGAGTTCTTTCTTACATATCCATTACTGCATTTAGATTTAAAACACCGGAAACCTCTACTAAAGCCCTCGAGTCAAGATCACGATGCAGAGAAACGTGAAACATGGCTTTGGAGATTAAGCTCTTGACCACTTGTTAAACGCAGACAGACCGGTTCACCCAGATAGCGCGCAGCCACTCTTTTTTGTCCAGTCTGGGCTTCTGTGGGTATCAACTAGATGCCATGAGTCATCCTTCGCTCCGGATATTCTTTAACGCGTCAGTCAACACAAAGTCTACAGTTGGTAAAATGACAAGACTAAACCTGTAACAAAAAGGTGCTCTTATGAGACACATCTTATCCGAGCGGCGACCAGATGCATTATAAAGAATGTTATTATAGCATGGCAAGCTAACTGTACCCGCTTCACTCCGCCATGATTATACGTCTCCGTCAAGATGTGTTTTTGTTTATCACTATAATTTGGTTTAACTGGCAGTTTTGTGCGTTGGTGCCTGGTGATTTCAGCCTCGGGGGCACAGCTTGGTTTCGAAATAGCACATGGTAGGACCTATATCGCAACATGTTGTAGCAAGCCATCAGCAATTTTCCATGAGTACGTTAGCAATGAAAGGGTTAGGGTTAAATGCTGTATAAGCGTTTTATATAGTAGAAATTACGAATATACATTGATTTTGGATAATAGACTGTCTTACATCTTTCATAAGTGAAAATACTAAATCTTAAAATGGTAAAAATTGGCCCGAGCAGGTTGACAGTTAGAAAAAAAAAATTTAGTAGTACCAAAGCAAAATGGTTTCAGTAGCCTAAACTAGCTTCTATTTTAAAATATGACGCAAAAACCCAACCACACTATTATGCTTTTTGCCTATCCAAGTTTTTCAGTACTCAGAAAGTTGGTAATTCAAAAATTATTACTGGTTATTCAGGTCATAAAATATAAGAAGTCAATCTATAATAATCATGATTGTATGAGAAGGAGCATTTTATTAGGTTATTTAAATTCTGTTTAGACTACGGCTACTGTAATTATACTATATCATTCAGAAAGTGTGATTTTTCTAAAGCTGGTCACATACTAGAGTAGCCTGAGAACTACCAGTAGCTCTTCACCCCGTTCCAAGTAGCTCACCAAGGGATTTCTGAATTCTGTGTATTACGGATAAGTGCAATTTGATTAATTACCATTGTAAATGTATGTTTTTGGTTACTAACGTGGTGCACCGATGAATGGAATATGGTTTATGTTTTATAAGCATCTGTTCCCCATCTAAGGCTCACTGTGGCTTTTATATTTACTCAATTTCTTCGCGACTGCTGAAATTGGTTGCTCTCTTTCATTTTTGTTTTGTAAAGGTAGCTCACTGGAGAAAAAGGATTGATATTCCTGTACAAGAGGCATTGGGATCTTTCAGACTGTAATTAATGATGTGGTTTGTTTATGGCATCAATAAGTGTCTCTCATTATACATATATTTTAAAAAATATATAAAATCATGAAGTAGTCAAAGCTATATCTATATCTGAGCTTTACTTTACCACAGTCTGATCAGAAAAAACTGACTTGGTTGGAACAAGTGCGCTGTGCGGTTAAACTTTCTAGTCACAAACTTAGAAAGCATTAGCAGTTTTTGAGTCTCCCCAACCTTTTTGTTGAAAATCAAACACCTTAACAGGACCATGAACGCTCGTATCGAACACAGACTCCTGAAAATGAGTTTAAATCCATTTTGTATTTTCTCTTGAGTTTTCAAACGATCTTAAAACTTTTCTGACAGTGTTTGCTTATGTGTGCATTGCGTCACCATGGCAACTGCTGAACATTCCGCCAACAGAGATACATAAACCCCCCCAGCATGATGTCACTGCGAAGTATCAATATTAATTCATAACCATATTTCTCCCGCTGCTACGCCTAGACATCCAACTGTAGCCCGCGCACAGATCATTAAAAGTGTTCAAAGATCAAAAGGCATTGGGTGCAGACTTGTTTACATGACTAGCAGCACATCAATGCACCAGAATAGGTAGGCACCCTCTGGATATTCAACTGTGCTAAGACCTGTGATTTGTGATCTTTCTCTCACCACTTTGCTTCTGCGGCTACCAACACAGCAGCCATAAAAAACAAACTCAGATTTACGTTCAAAGTGTTAAAGCAAAATGGACCGGGGCTGTATAGTGCATAGTAAACGCTGCGTGTATTTCTACTTTGTTGTCGTCAACCGGCTAGGCATGTTTGCGCATAGCTTGTTCCACTTATCTCCAATTATGTGACTGACGGAGCTTGTTTGATTAGCCACAGTAGAAAGCAGGGAGGAGGAGGGAGGGAGTTTTTTTTTTTTTTTTTGTTTTTTGTTTTTTATAAGATATTATTCAGATGCTTGCACTCAAAGCCAATAGCACTTGTTCTTGAAGATGGTGATCTCACGGCAAAGGCAGTTCAGTAGCCAAGGAGAGGTGGTTTGGGTGTGCGCTTGTGTTTGGGTGTGTGTGGCAAGTGAAAAGAAATGAGAGAGAAAGGGGGGGGTTGCTGGTTTTCAATGTGTGCGTACAAGCTCAAACTCAAAAAAATGAATAGTGGACTACTTATGTTTCAGCCTGGGAAAAGGTAACCGGAGATGTTTGTAAATCACAGCTAATCAGAGCTCCTTCCTTGTCGTCCATGCCAAAAGAATACGACAGATGGATACAGGAAGCTAATGATATTTTAAAGACGGCAATCGCTCTTACGTAATGTGTTGGCGGGTTTTTGACGGCGGTTAGGTCCTGCACCATCAGTCATTCCCGCTGCGAAATATTTCTCATTTTTCAAGCGGCCGTGAAACAGACGTGGCCTGTCAGTCCACACTCGGGGAGCAGCTGAAGCGTCCGTGAAGGGGGCATTTAGGAACGGATAATTGGGAAGGGGAAGAACTTGTATGTGGGAATTCGTCCAGGAATTGTGGCTAGAAGGTCGGATTAGAAGTTTTAGCTGGATCAACAGTATGTCACGTTCACGTTTTTATGCACGATCCAGCTTTTTCAGTTCAGATGCCGATTTCGATACTATAGCTTTAAGTATCTGCCGAACCCGATATTAACAGATACCCATGCAGAGATTGAAAACAGCATTTATTTCCTTACTAAAATAAAATACTAAACTGATCAAAATGTGTTATGCAGCTGTTATTTAACTCTCAATTACAGAATAAATTTGTAAGAATAAAAATGAAAAATGAGACTTTCTTTGCCGACTATGACTAGTAAATAGTCTTATAACATACATTTCTTGGTATGGTATTGTATATTACACATTTTGAGCTATACATTCTTGGTAGAATGAGTAAAAATGTCATGTATAAAATGGTAATTCAATTTAAATATTATAGCATATCATATGGTATTGCTTTTTTATTATTTTTTTTTAATCTTTGGTCTTCAGCAAACAAATCTGAGAGAGCGAGGTCTAAATAAACCAGTGCCGAACCAGGACTAAACCTACCCAAAATGGCTGTAAGACTAAATGAAGGTGCCAACTTTGTCTTTGTTAAAATTCACTCACTCGTCACAGCAAAAGTTCTACCTGAAGAAACCTACGCGTGACAATTTGAGAATCCCTGGCATTTAGCATACTTTTTTTTTTGGTCAAGTATCACAACGAATTGATAAACTACACACAGACCACACAGCAATATACTTCTGCGCTCTACCTAACAAACTGGGAGCATCTTTCTTCATGGGTGCCACTCCACATCACCCACCCAACATCCTGGCAGTGATTGCACCTCGGCAGTCTTGACACAGTGACCCATTATCTGCTCTGGGAGCCTGAGGCTAGTGCACAATGTCAGGAATAGGCTCCCCTCGTTACAGCAGCGCACACATTGCACACATCACCGAAGAACAGACACTTAAGAACATGCCACGAAAACTACGGTCCACTGCTGTAACCGAGCATTATAATAAAGAAACATAAACCTGAAAGATTATGGGGAAACAGTATTGTCTGCTTGCATTACAGGCGTACCAAGATGCCCAAAATAGTACCTATAATGTTGCTATAGCTATATGCATCACACGAGAGTATGCGTAAAGGGAGGACCACATTGGGCAGGTGCAAAGCAGGGAGAATCCTGGCACGATTTGAAGCTATGTACAGCAGGGTGGACGTGGGATTACGTGCATTTCTATATAGATAATTAATTCACGATCTGTTTAGCTTCTAATCGCGTAACTATTCAAACACCTGCAATATATTCATACATTCAAAGCGACGGAAGCAATACATGAGGATGAAGTTAACGCGAAGGAAACGCAGCCAAATGCGAGTCGTGATATTATAACCCGCCAATACTATAGGAGAAATGTCCGGGCAATTTAAATGAGCGTCTCTAGGGGCGTGCAACACCGCGGCTCATCCTCCGCAGTGGCCGTACGATGTGCCGAGAGAGCGTCAAACATAACGAGGGCGACACAGCGAGTCAAACGGTAAATAATGACACGATGGAGGTGACTCGTACACGGACAGCAGGCGACGATGCTGTACTCACTTTGTAGAAAATCATCTTTAAAGTGCCGTAGAACCCCATGCTTGTATCCCGGTGCGTCTCCCTTCTCTCCTCAGTGGTAAACGGTGAAGTCCGGAGCGGTGTGGAGGAGGCAGGGGAGCGCGCAGTGGCAGAGTAGAGACGAGGGCAGTGGACTCTCAGGTAGATCCGAAACCGCCTCCGATGTGAACATGCTCGGGCACTTTAGCGGACTGGCGTGCATGCGGTACAATCCCCCGGTGAAGACATAAGGAAAATGAAAGTAGGCAGTAGTTCCGCGGTGGCTTGCTCCTTCAGTGAACAATGCTGCTGCGACGGTCCCAGAGGCGTGTGCACCGCCTCGACTCACAGTGAGTGAGCAGATGAGGGAGAGGGTGACACTCGCAGGCAGCAGAGGAAAGGGGAGGAGTGCGGCCAAAGCGTCAGAGCTGCACGACTAGAGGCATCGGATTACAAGTCCCTGCTGGAGGAGGCAGCGATGGTGCAGTCCGGAGAGGAGCGCAGCGCATCCTCCGAGAGCATCCTCCGAGAGCTACCGGGGCACGTACACGCGCACACGCGCCTAAAGGGTGGGGGTACCCTTTGCTTTTTTATCGCATCGTAAGGTGGAGCCCCACTTGTTGCAATTCAGAACAACACGTCCTGAGTCCGCACCACAGCTGCAGTGAGCCATACGAATGCAAGAGTTTAGAACATTATGACCAATATCCTGTTACATGACAACACGTACGTGTTCTATACAATATGAAATTCAAATAGTAGGCTAATCTATCATTTGATCATGACTACACACGTTTGTGTATATATATTGTATAGAGAGTGTAAGACTGGATGATATTTAACTGTCTGTAAAACTGTCTGTATTAACAAATCCAGCTTCATTTAGACCATCCCAAGGTGAAAAATGATGTTCTATATTAGCAGGAGTCAAACCTGAGCCAGGTGAGCTGATTCAGACTGCAGCACAGCCTTATCAACAATGTTAGCACAGCAGAGTTTGCACACTTTAATTTTCACACCTGCTTTAATGTCCAACTAGGCTACCTAAAATGCCCCTTGGACTCTGCAGTAGAGCACACATTCCGGCTGTTGCAAATGTACGGTTTGTATTTGTTGAAAATCCATTTTCTACAAACTATAGAAAAGAAATGATTGACAGAAAAAATGTACAAGAACATAAGATGGGCATAATGTCAATGCATTAAATATCTCTTCATTTCATCCATATAACCATATAAGACCCTCTCCATTATAGCCATGCTTGGGTATGCAGCACCTGCTCTTTCTCTGCACACTGACTAATATTTGCATTTCACTGTAGTCACTAATGGCTCTGCGCACCTGCCCATTTAATAACTGTTTACACAAACTGTTTATCACCACCTATAGAGAAGCAAACCTGCTGCTGTACTTGACATATAGCACAAGAACATTTTGTTCTCGATGATGTCTGGAGGCAAATGTTCACAAATATATACATTTTATAAGTGTTATCAATCAGACAAGACTTCAGCATATCAACATTTTGAATTATATGGCACAAAATAGCAAACCAAATCTAGTGGATCCAAAGCTTACATATATTTTTAGCATTTAACATTATCAAATTGCTTTGGGGTAAAACAAGTATCTTATCAAGTAAATCACCACTAAAGGGTATGTCAGGGTTAGGACAACATTAATTCCTCCTGGACTGTGCCTGGCGTATTTGTGCAAGCTTTATCTTGCTGAAATGTTTTATCTTCTTCCTTCTCTAGTTTTAAGTTTTTTATATGGCTGATTGTGACCAGAAGGACATCAAAAAGGGGTGTGCTCAAATTATAAAATGTAAAAGAAATTCTACGATTGCAACATTTATAGTGACAATAAATCACAGAATCTTTTAATCTCTCATCTCTAAACCTTTGGCCAGATAGCGGATTTGGATTACCCGACTTCACTTCACTCCTCTAAGTACATGGGTACACAGAACCACCCACTACACGCTGCCTCACTCGAGTGCCCGTGCTCCACTGTATGCCTGCGCTGTGCTGGGAGTTGAAACAGCATCAGTGCCGGTTGGTGGGCTTCAAACGGAGGGCCTGGGCTTTGTGTGTGTGTGTTTAAGGTGGCCCTCGTGAGAAAGGCCCTCTGGCTCAAACCTTTACACAGCGCTGTGGAATGCCTGGTATGTGGGACGAGCCTGCTTGTGCTCTTTTGAATGGGCCCGGCCGCCTTTGTGGATCCCCTCCTGCCTGCTAGAGCATTAAACAGGCCTCTCCCCCCTGATACTGACCTCCTGCACCGCACCACCGCCCCACTGCTGTTCAGAGGTGCCCATCAACCTGAGAGTCATCTGGAGACATGGGAGCCAAAGTCTGTGCTGAATACCAAATTTTGTTCATGGGTTTTAATAGTAATGAAAAAGAAACAAACAATTTAAAGCAAAAAGTTATGTCTTTTGAACATTCTTCAAAATGTAGCATAGAACTGGAAGCTGAAACCCATAAATACAAATGGATACACAAATACTTTTTATGTACTTAAATTTGCAAGCTTTTGTTGCATAATTAAAGGTCCCATATTACATAAAATTTATTCTTTTGAGCTTTAAGACATGTTATAATGCCATTACATCATCAAAATCATACCTGGAGTTGTGTTTTGTTTCATTCACCCTTTATTGTCTGTTTACATCTCCAAAGCTCAAAATGCTCTGTTCCACCTTGTGATGTCATGAAGCAGTAGTTTTCAGGCTAAACACTAACTTTTACCTTTTGTTCTAGTCTTTACTGGAAATTCCAGGGCTGAAATTATCAAAATGATTCTAGAGAAGGGTTGTGGAGTTTAAATCTTAGTGGAGCACATCCTGTATTACCATATGACATCACAAGGTGGAACAGACTATTTCCTGTATGAGAGAAAAAAGAAATATGCAGGGTTTGTGAGATAAAAGCGTGAATGAAACAAAACGCAACTCCAGGTATGTTTTTGACGAGGAAGCAACACTATAACATGGATCAGAAAAAAGTGTAATATGTGTCCTTTAAACGAACAGTTCGGAATTTTGGACATAGCACCTCATTTTGTAGTGAGCCAGAGTGTTGGAGAAGTGTGGAGACACTTTTTTAAATATTCGATCCAGTCCTTATATTTGCAGAGGTCGCTGGTGCTAGGCTAGTGCATGTCAATGGCCATAGTTATCCTGGCACTAAAAACAGTCTTACCCACTCCACAAAACACCCGAAGCAAATCTATTATTACACCAGTCTGTCGATGTGAATGTCTGTGTTGATAGAATAACGTTTGAAATAAGACTAACCTTGCATCGCATGAATCGTTGCATGTTGAAGGACTATTTTCTCATATATCAGTCCGCCGCTGCCAAGATTTCTATCAGGAAGTACAACTCACTGCTGCTGCTGCTCAGAAATAAATCCTTCAAATGCAAAGGTTGGTTTTACTTCTAAAATTATATTATCAGCACAGACATTTACATCGACAGTCTGGTGTAATTACAGATTTGTTTCGGGTGTTTTGTGGAGTGGATAAGACTGTTTTTAGTGGCTGGATAACTATGGCCATTGACATGCACTAGCCTAGCACCAGTGACCTCTGCAAATACAAGGACTGGATGGAATATTTTAAAAAGTGTCTCCACACGTCTCCAACACTCTGGCTCACTAGGAAATGACGTCCTATGTCCAAAATTCTGGAGTGTCTCTTTAAGTAACTCTTGGCTGTAAGTCTTTTTAGCTCGAAGACAAGACAGCAATGGTTTCATATGCATTTTTTTAAAACATAAGTGATACACATCTACTGAAGTTTCTACAGGTTATGTTCAGTATATCGTTAACTGTTTTGACATAAATCATCAATATAACATTTTTTGGGGTTACTGATGCAACCGAACAGAACAGTTCAAATCAAAGAGCCAACGTGGACCAGACACCCACCCACCAGCGGCCACACTCGACAGTTATTATGCAAGGAATGGCATCTAGCGAAAAAGGTTTGCAATAAAATATGTATGTCTCCATTTCTCTTTCTTGCATAATCCTCTTAAATATGAAAACCATTACATCATCAAGATTGACAAGTTAAGTCAGCATTACATTCAACGTATTTGCATATAGATCCGTCCATCCAACCTGAGCTATGTTTACATCAATTATTAACAACGGCATGAGCATTAGTGGGCTCCACTGAAGGAAGGAAGGAATTTCAAACTGCCAGATGTTGCTGGGAAGAAAAGCCCGCCTGATAGAGAATAGTCTTTTCTTGGGCAAATGTTTGATGAGAGGTGGTGAACTTGAAGGAGGCAAATACTTCCTGGGCACTGATGCGTCTCTAACCGGGGTCTCGTCATTGTGCGCTTGTCCTCTTGGCTGAAAAAGTGGTGGGGTGGGAGGGGGGGATCTGCTGGAGTGCGATTCCCCATACCCGGACAGATGCAACGCGCGTGGGGGGAGGAGGTTTGATGAATAAGGGAAGCATGGATCGTGGCATTGCGAAGGGGATAATAATAGCATCATCTGCATGGAGTGTAGAATTAACATAGCCCAGTGCCACCCACGCGACTCCGACATTCAAGTTTGACAGGGTCAGGTCAGAAAAAGGAGAAATTAAAGCGAGAGGCAGTGCTTATCTCCCTCCTGACGTGAATAGGCTCTTATGGAAATAAATGAAGAACAGGGGTCAGGATTTGCAGTTATTGGTCATTATTCAGGAGTTGAATCTAATACGGGTGTATATGTGTAAAGGGGATGGGCAAATGGAAAAAGACCTATCATCGGATCATCGGTTTGTGTGTGAATGTAAACAGAGAAATTAGTTTGGGGTATAAAAGATTAGAATAATAATATAGCCTGGCAAATCCAGACAGACCTCTGTTTTTATACAGACAAATCAGTGTGGTCTCAAGCCAGGACTGAACATGATCGCACAATCATCTGTTTTTGTCAGTGGCTGCAGTTACATGCGCACTCAAAATCAGATTATTATCAGATTTTTTTATATATTTTTTTTATATAGTTTAAAGACTGGTCCCTTTGATTACTCACAGCAGACTTTTTTCAGATTTGTCATTTAACAAAACTTGAAGGTCCAGAAATCAGATAATAATCAGATTTTGGTGTGCAGGTAAACAAAGCCAGTGAAGCAAGCATTATGAAACAAAGGACTTTAGTGTTTTGCTCATTGATTCTGCAGAAATTCGTAATGTTTTGTAGTCCAGACGATCTGAAATCAGGGGGATTCAACGGTAACCAGACTCACATCTTCATAAAGCACTGAAGAAGTGTGTGTTCTGCATCCTAAGCAACTACAGTTATACAGCATCAA